CTGGGATGGGACAGGGAATGTTCAGGGTGGGAAGAACGGGAGGGAAATGCCTGGAGAGAGGCCTGGATTAAATAAGAGATAGCCAGAGTGGAGAAAACAGGAGGAAAATGCCAGGAGAGTGGCTGGGATGGAGCAGGGAATGTCCAGGGTGGGAAGAATAGGAGGAAAATGCCTGGAGAGTGGCCTGGATTAAATAGGGGATAGCCAGGGTGGGAAGAGCAGGAGGAAAATGCCTGGAGAGCGGCTGGGATGGAGCAGGGAATGGCCAGGCTGGGGAGAACAGGAGGAAAATGCCTGGAGAGAAGACGGGATGGAGCAGGGAATGGCCAGGAGGGGGCAAAGAGCAGGACAGGAGCTCCTGCCATGCCAGACGCGAGGGGAGCTCTGGCTCATCCCGGTAGTTCAGCTCCTGGGGGAGGGTCTGGTACCCTGCAGGGGTCCCTCTGGATGTCCCCCTCTCCTGGGCCAGCTGGGCTGGATCATCCCTGTGTCCCTCTGCTCCAGAGCTGGGATGGGCTCAGCCGCACCCCCAGATTCCCTCAGGCACCCCAGGGATCCCTGGGACGGGAGCAGGGAAGTGCGGCAGGAAGAGCAGCATTTTCCGGGGGATTTTGGGCCCCTCGGGGTGTGAAAGGCCGGGCAGCCCTCGGCAGCTCGGCTGGGATGGCTCAGCCCCCGCCGGAGCTCTGCCCCGGTGCCCCCAGTTTGTACCAGCACGGAGAAATCCCAGCTGGAATCCCTGCTGGTGGCAGCGGGATTTCCAAAGGCGTTCGGGAGGCGCAGAAACACCGGCTTGGATTCTGCTCCAAGGTTTTGTGCTCCAGTGGGATGTCAGGGCTGGAGGAGGGAGCTGAGCTTCCCCTCCGTTCCCTGTCCGTGCTCTGGGTCGGGTGGGATGTCAGGGCTGGACAGGAGGGAGCTGGACATCCCTGTCCAGTCCTTCTCCATGCTCTGGATCCCGGTGGGAGGAAGGAGCTGGACATTCCCTTCCAGTCCCTGTCCATGCTCTGGATCCCGGTGGGATATCAGGGCTGGAGGAGGGAGATGAGCATCCCTGTCCAGTCCCTGTCCATGCGCTGGATCCCGGTGGGATATCAGGGCTGGAGGAGGAAGCTGAACATTCCCTTCCATTCCCTGTTCACGCTGCCCCTCGCAATGGGATGTGCGGCATGGGCAGGAGGGAGCTGACCCCCCTCCTCTCCCTCCCCAAACTCCAAACTCCCTCCTGTGGAACTCGGCCGTGCCGTGGGGGGGGACCCCAATCATTTGTGGCGCCCCGTGGTGCCTCCCCAGGCAGACCCCGCTGCCTCCCGGCCCCTAACCTGTCTGAATTCTCTACCTAGGAGCCGCTGGCAGCCCCGGCCAGCCGGGCGTTCTCCCTGCCCCAGATCGTGCTCACCGAGTGGGTGTCGGAGCCGCCGTCCCCCGAAGCCGAGCCGGAGCCGTGGCTGGCACCGGGCAGCGCAGCAGGAGCGCGGCTGCCACCCGAGGGGACAAGGAGGGGCCTTGCGGTGGCTCCTGGCAGCTCCCCAAAGTCCCCGCTGGCACAGGAACGCCCTCCAGCCCCGCCGGCCCCCGGCAGCACCTCCCGGGAGTTTCCTTTGGCGGCCGCGCCTTTCTCGAGGGATAAAATGGGGGGACAAGGAGGGGACGCGGCTCTGGACGCTGCCAGCAGGCCAGGAGGAGGCGACAAGATTTGTCCCCAAAGTCGCGGGGCTCCTCGGAGCCGCGGGGAAGGTGGCGGAGCTGCGGAGGCCGCGCTCCCCTCCATCGGTACCGGGATCATTCCCCAAATTCCCGATGGGGATCCCCAAAGACGAGGCGGGCTCGCTCCTGGACGCTCCTGCGGGGCTCCCAAAGCCGCGTGGAGAGAGGAGAGCCCGCTGCCACATCCCGGGATTCCCGCGGGCAGGGATCCAGAGGGACATTCCCGGCAGGAGCAGCCCCTGGAGCAGATTCCTGCCCCCTCCAGCCACTCCACGGCAGCTCCGGGATGGGATGGAGGGGCTCCGGCTGCGGGGGGCGACCCCGGAACGGGGGGGAAAGAGGCGGAGGGGCTCTGCAGAGGCCGCTTGTCCCCCGGGCTCCCCCCGGGCCCGGGCAAAAAGGAGATTTATGAGGACACCTACCAGAGACTGGACAGCCTGGAGGAAACCATCCGCGAGCTGGAAATGACCATCAGCGAGATCAGTAGCCACCCCGCCGTGGAACTGACGTTCCCCAAGGACGCGCTGGGATCCGAGGAGGCCGGGAAGAGCCTGGGGGACCTCGGGCTCGGAGGCTGCGACGGTGACACCGCGCTGGACCTCAGCCAGGCCAAGGATGGCACTGCCAAGAGTCCGAGCAGGACCAAGCCAGCGCTGCTCCCCAAGCCGCAGCTGCCCCCCGGCACTCGCCAGGTTCATTTTCTCTTCTCCCCCGTGCCCTGCTCTGCCCTGGATTCACTCTGATGTCTCTTCCTGCGCCTGCTCCCTCTCTGTGACTCCTCCTCCAGGCAGGGCCGAGGCGGAGAGCGAATCTTCCTCTTCTCGCTGGCACTTGGAGGGGTTTGGGAAGGGCAGGAATGAGCGAGGCAGGAGCTGGCAGCGGGAAGGGAGGCGGGGCCGGGTGGTGCTGGCTGATCCCGTCCTGGAATTAGACCCTGGATGAGGTGGATTCTTCCGCCCTGGAAGGGTTTTGGAGCACCAGGTCCAGGATGGGCATCCCAAGGGGTCCAAGAGCATCCCAAGGTGTCCAAGAGCATCCCAAGGGGTCCAAGAGCATCCCACGGGGTCCTTGAGCATCCCAAGAGGTCCAAGGGTATCCTAAGGGGTCCTTGAGCATCCCAAGGGGTCCTTTGAGCATCCCAAGGGGTCCATGAGCATCTCAAGGGGTCCAAGGGCATCCCAAGGGGTCCATGAGCATCCCAAGGGGTCCTTGAGCATCCCAAGGGGTCCAAGATCATCCCAAGAGGTCCAAGATCATCCCAAGGGGTCCTTGAGCATCCCAAAGGGTCATCCCACTGGATCCATGAGCATCCCACGGGGTCCATGGACATCCCACAGGATTGGCCAGGGCTGGGCGCTCCGGATGCCGAAGCACCGCTCTCAATTTCACCATTTTGCATAAAAACCCCTCTCCTAATGAGCGGCAGCCGGAACCCAGCAGATGTTTCTCCTAATTAAACCACAGCGTGAGCTCCCTGAAGCCATCCCAAATTGCTTTCCGCTGCAATCCAGCTGAATATCTGGGAAAAACAGGGAGGGGAAAAATGCCCTGAGCTCCTCTGCAACGTCAACCTGCTCCTTTATTAACAGCCAGCGCCGGGGAATAAATCTCCTTTTCCATTTGGAGCCGTTCTCCCGCTCCTCGGGGGGCTCTCGCTGGGTGAACGGGGGTGCAGCTGCAATTTTTCCAGATGTTTTTTCCCTGGAAAATGGGAAGCGGAGCTGCGGGGATGGATTTGGGGCTGGGGCAAAGCCAGGCTCAGGGTTAGGCAGGAGAGGCTGTGATGGGTCAGTCCTAAAGCAGAGCGGGGCAGGGCAGGGCTGCTGTCACCTCCAGAGGATTCTGGAAGATTCCCAGCGCCAGGAATTCCGGGGATGCTGTGGCGCATGTGGGATTCTCCAGGGCTGGGATTTGGGCTCTGATGATCCTCCACCCTCCCAGCTGAGGAATTTTCCATGATTTTTTGATTCCCTCGTGCTGTGGGGTGTGGGAATCCCCCGTGTCCCACCTGTGGGGACCACTGAGGATCCCAGGGGTTCACCCGAGCCATGGATTTCCCAACCTGGGATGTCCCCACTGGAACAGGACAGGCACGAGGCCACCGGGAGGGGACCTGGGGTGTCCCTGGCACGGGAGGGGACACGCGGGGGTGCTCTGGCGATTCTCTGTATCCGCTCCTGTGCACAGCCGTAAATAAACTCCTCTGTATTCCCACTGCCGCCGTTCCCACCTGGAATCTGCTTCTGCCTGCCGCCGCCTCTTTCCCTCTCTCTCGGGTGTCCTGTCCCGCCCTTGGTGTCCCGGTTTTTGCCGTGTCTGCCCTAAACCCCCTCTCGGGTGGCTCCCGGTAAGTCCCGGCGGGGTTTGGAGCTCACACGGGGGAGCCTCATCCTCCTCATCCTCGCCAGCACGGGCTGTGCCGGCAGGGGTGGCTCAGCCCCAGGCATCCAGCGCTGCCGGCTCCAGCAGGATTAAAGGATTAAAGGATTTTAACCCTTTTCCCCTGGATTTTGTGTCCCGGCAGAGCGGTGGCGTCTCCATCCCGGCCATGAAGGTGGTGAACCCGGCGTCGCGGCTGAAGCAGGGCCAGCAGGGCAGCCCCGACAAGGGCAAGCACATCAAGCAGCGCATGGAGTACATGCGGATCCAGGGCCAGCAGCAGGTACTCCACCCCTAGAGCCGTCCCGGGGCTGCCCGCGGCCCCGGCAGCGCCCTCGGGCACGGCCTGAGCCGGGGACACCCCCAGCGTGATGATTTTTGGGGCTGGGTTCTCTCTTTCTTGGTGCCTCCTCGGCTTCGGCTGAGCCCGGGGGGGTTGGGGACAAAGGGACGCGGCTGTTGAGGCGCACGAGGGGCTCTTGTCACAGCCCGTGGGGACAGGGGACAGGGACACGACTTCGTGCTGAGAGTCACAAACCCGTCCTGGCTGAAGCCGCAGCCGGTTGTCCCCCAGCGCTGGGTGTCACTCTGGCGCGGTGGCCTTGTCCCCTCGCCCCTGGGGACAGTGACACCTCCTTGGAGCGTGGCAGAGCCACGGGAGCCCTGGGGATGGGGATTCCCTCCCTGGGGTTCCTGTCCCGGGAGGTTCTGGGGAGCCGGGACCTCGCCCCACGCAGCTTGTGGTGTCACAGGAGGGGGTGGTGGCACCGGGGACACCGTGGGGACACCGTGGGGACACCGTGGGGACAGGGTGAGCGGGCCACAGCAGCTGGAAGAGAATGGGATGGGATGGAACATCCCCAGCACTGACCCCTGCCCATCCCGGGGGGCAGCTCCTGCATCCCCCCAGCTGCGTCCCTGCTGTCACCTCGGCTCCGGCCGTGCATTCCCGGCCGGCTCGGGCCACAGGCCAGGGGATCACGGCCACTCGGGTGTCCTCCCTCCCTGCTGACCCCTTGTCCCCGCTCCCAGCAGCCCTTTTCCCCTCGCTGGGCAGCAGCACCGCGAGCGGCTCCGCCCTGAGCCCTTCCTGCGCCCCCCTCTGTGTCCCGACCCCCTTTGCACCGCCAAAATCCCGCAATAAACCCGATTCTGCTCATTCTCGTGCAGCCGCCGGCCCTGTCGGACAAACCGGAGCTACTCCCAGCAGGGTTTTGGGGGGGATTTCACGCAATTTGGGCAAGTGTGGAATGAGCAAAATGGACCCTGCGAGAAGGGTCAAACCCTCCCCTCGGCTGCTCCTCCGTTCCCAGTGGGAAAATTTCCCCAAGGAGGGTCCATCCCCGAGCTCGGGGGGCGTCCCCTGGCTGTCCCCTCCGGCCTGCGGGGCTGTCCCGGCCCGTGGAATCAGGGAGAGGCGGGGAGCTCCCTCTGGATTCCCCCTGGACCGGACAAAGGGACCGGGGAGCATCTCCTGACCCTACGAGGCCACCGAGCCCCCTCCCCTGGAGGCCCACACAGCCGCGGCTGCTCGGTGTCACCTCTGTCCGCCTCGGGGACACCTCGGTGGCGCCATCAGCGCCCTCCCGGCACCTGCCGCTGCCCCGGCTGGCATTATTCCGTGTCACTTTTGTCCCCGTGTCACTTTTGGCCGCGCCCCCGCTCCTCTCCCTCAGCACCCCAACCCCTCACTGAGGGCGAGGAGGGGGCTGGAGGATCCCTGTCCTCATTCCCTGAGGGATTTTCATCATTCCCCATGCCCGTGCCTCTGGTGACCGACCCCCACCCCCCGGGCACGGTGGGGACAGGGACAGGGACAGGGACAGGGTGGGCACCGCCACCCTCGGGCGCTGCCGAGGCTCGGCCGGGGGCTGTGCCCGCTCTAACGCTGCCCTTCTTGTCCCCCCTGTGCCTCCCCCGTGTCCCCTGTGCCTCCCCTCTCACCCCCCGCCACCCCCCGCCTGCGTCTGCCTGTGTGTCCGCCTGTCCGTCCGTCCGTCCGTCCGTCCGCTCCTCTCGGGGATGTCCCCTGCCCGTGCAGTGACGCGTGGGACCCGCTCTTGTCGCGCTGTTTGTGGTGGCCCTTTTCCAGCTGCTTGACCTCAGGCCTGACTCAGTGCTGCTTCTGAACGAACTCCCTTTGGTTCTCGGTTGTTTTTGGGTTTTGTTTTGTTTTTCTTTTTTCCCCCCCCTTGTCCTCGTTCCTGTTGTTTTGGTTTGTTTTTTTTTTTTCTCCTTCTTTCAGTTTTTCCTTTCATCTTTTTTATTTATTTTTATTTTTAAAGCTTTTTTTTTTTTTTTCCCCTTTCTTTTCGGACTTTCCACCCTTTTCTCCTCCTCCTCGTCCTCCTTGAATCTTGCTTTTCTTTCCAGGCCACTAGACCATCTAAAGAGGCCAGCGAGACCTCCCCCACGGTCTCAGAAAAACCCGCAGCTGGCAGAACATCCATCCCCGTATTGACTTCCTTTGGGGCCAGGAACTCCTCCATCTCATTCTGAGCGCCCCTGCCAGCTCCGCCCGGCCGCTCCTCCTCTCTTCCTCGCGCTCCTCTTCCTCCCTGGGACTTGGCTTCTTCCTGAGGCGCTCTGGAGGGAAGCCGCCACCTGTTGTCCCCTCCTCTTTCTGTTTGATCCATGTTTTTTGTCGCCTCCGCTCCGCCAAAAGAACTTTTGTGTGTCGCCTGCGCCGCGCCTCGGCCCGACCTCTGTGTCCCCTCCCGCTCCGCCATGGCCAACCAGCCACTTTCTGTTTCTCTCTCTCTCTTTTTCCTCCTTTTCTCCCCTTTTTTTTCCTCCCCTTCGGATCGCTGTTGGTTTGGTTTCCTTCCCCTCCCATTTTCCTCTTTTTTCCCCCCTTTTTCCCCCCTCCCCTCCTTTTTTTCGTTTTGGTTTTTTTTGTTTTTTTTTTTTTTTGGTTTGGTTTGGTTTTTTTTTTCCTGTTTATTTAAGAGCTCTCAGAGCTTCCCCCCACCAGCGTCCAGCCAGGAGCAGCTTCCAGCTCCCACCGCGCGGAAAACCGGGAAGCAGCGCCCGCCGAGGACACGACCCCCGGAGCGACCCCCGGAGCGACCCCGGGAGCGACCCCCGGAGCGACCCCCGGAGCGACCCCCGGAGCGACCCCCGGAGCAGCCCCGGAGCGGCCCGGGAGCCCCGGCCGTGTCCCCGCAGGAGGAGAGGACAGCCCCGGGCAGGGCTCGCCGGTGGGTGGCCGGCGGGGCCGAGGGCTCGGGGACATCCCGGGCCGCTGTCGCCGCTGTCGCCGCTGTCGCCGCCGCCACGCCCGGCTCCCCTCGAGGGGGGCCGGGGGGTCCCCGGGAGTGCCGGAGGGGCCGCCGGGAGCGGGTGTGAATTGGGGAGGGGGCTCGGGATGCGATGGAGGGGCTGCGGTGATGCCGGGTGGGGTCACCTGGCCGCGGCTCTGTCCCCTCCCGTGGGGGACGAGCGGGCGGGACGGGGACCCGGAGCCCCGGGGGAGCAGCCCCGGACCCGGCCGGGCTGGCGGGGACCCCGGGGGGGCTTGGGCGAGGGGCCCGTGGCCACCTCCCGGCAGAGCAGCCGAGCCAGGTGTGCCCCAGGTGTGCCCAGGTGTGCTCCAGGTGAGCCCAGGTGTGCCCCAGGTGTGCCCCAGGTGTGCCCAGGTGTGGCCAGGTGTGCTCCAGGTGTGGCCAGGAGCACCCAGCTGTGTCCAGGTGTGCTCCAGGTGTGGCCAGGTGTGGCCAGGTGAGCACCAGGTGTCCCCCAGGTGGGCTCCAGGTGTGCCCAGGTGATCCCAGGTATGCACAGGTGTGTCCAGGTGCGCTCCAGGTGTACTCTAGGTGTGTCCAGGTGCGCCCAGCTGTGTCCAGGTGTGCACAGATGTATTCTAGGTGTGTCCAGGTGTGTCCCAGCTGTGCCTGGGTGTACCCCAGGGGTGCACCAGCTGTGCCCAGCTGTGTCCAGGTGTGCTCCAGGTGTACCCAGCAGCACCCAGCTGTGCACAGATGTGCCCCAGGTGTATCCAGCTGTGCCCCGGGTGTGCTCCAGCTGTGCCCAGGTGTGCCCAGGTGCGTGTGTGTGTGTGTGCGTGTGCAACACGAGATCCAATCACTGCTTCCGTTCTCTATTTCGTCCTTGGGTTGATAATTTTCGGGTTTTTTTTTTTAAAAAACAATTCAATTCCTTTTTTCTTCCTTTTCCCCCCCTCCTCCGGTTTTCTGTTTCGTTCTTTGTTCGGTTTTGGGTTTGTTTTTTTTTTTTCTTTTTTGTATCTCGATCATTTTTGTACAGAAGAAACGAGAGCCTTTTTTTGGATAACAAAGAGAAAAAACACAGACTAAAAAAGAACAAAAAAAAAACCCAAAAAAATAATAAATAAAAAGACCAAAAAAAAAAAAAGAGAGGAAAAAAAAACTGAAAAAAAAAAAAATCACGATGCAATTTCTTTGGATTGCAAAAAAAGCAACTCTTTACATTTAAGTGAAGTGTCTTAACATTTTATATTGTTTTAAAAAATATATTTACATATTATATATATATAATATACGTAATATAAATCTATATATAAATATTTAAAGAGGGGAAAAAAAACCTAAAAAAAAAAAACTAAAAAAAAAAAAAAAAGAAAAAAATGAAGAGAAATAAATGATAAATCGTTATTTAGGGGGTGGATTTGAAAAAAATCCCTGCTTAGGTTTCGAGCTCCTCGTGGTTCCCAGAGCGGCTTGGCGCTGTGTCCCCGCTCTCTCTGCTTGTCGCCAGGGCTGTCCCCAGCTGCTGGTGGCGCTGGGGACACCCGGGCGCGTCCCCCGGTGCCAGCGGCGGTGCCGGTTCCTTCCCTCGGTACCAAAGTGAATTCGCTGCAGCTCCCCGGGCCGGGCCGGGGGTGGCACCTGGCGCTGTCCCCTCCCCCTCCCCGCGCGCCTTTTGTCACCTCCTGTCACCTCCTGTCACCTCCTGTCACCTCCTGTCACCTCCTGTCACCTCCTGTCACCCCAAAGGGGGAGCGGTGACAGCGCCTCACCCTCCTCCCCACCCAGCGGGGCTGGAGGGGTGGAGGTGACAGTGCCACCCCCTCTGGGGACACCCACATGGAGGTGACAGTGTCATCCCCTTTGGGGACACCGAGCTGGGGAAGTGACAGGGCCACCCCCTCTGGGGACACCCACATGGAGGTGACAGGGCCACCCCCTTGGGGACATTCACATGGAGGTGACAATGCCACCCCTTTGGGGACACCCACATGGAGGTGGCATTGTCACCCCCTTGGGGACATTCACATGGAGGTGACAATGCCACCCCTTTGGGGACACCCACATGGAGGTGACAGGGTCACCCCCTTGGGGACACCGAAATGGGGGGTGACAATGCCACCTCCTTGGGGACACCCCCAAAATTTACATGGGGAGGTGACAGTGCCACCTCCCTGTGGACACCCAATTGTGAGTGACAATGCCACCCCTTGGGGACACCCACGTGAGGGTGACAGTGCCACCCCTTTGGGGACACCCATATAAAGGTGACAACGCCACCCCCTTGGCGACAGCCCCAAAAATGACATGGGGAGGTGACAATGCCACCCCCTTGGGGACACCCAGTTGGGAGGGGGTGACAAGTGCCACCCTCCTGGGTGACACCCCCAAAAACGACACTGTTGTCCTTAGTCCAACCCCGGTGTCCCCACCCCGGTGTCCCCAACCCCACTTTGTCCCCAAATCTCGGTGTCACTCCCGCAGGGCAGAGCGTGGGGAGGTGACAACGCCAGGTGACGGGGTGGGGGGGGGTGGCAGGTCCCCAAACCTGACCCCAAACCACCCCCAAACCCCCCCAAAAAAGTGTCCCTTTGTCCCCGCGGCTGGTGTCCCCGTGAGCGTGATGTCCCCGCGTGTGCGTCCCCTTCATGGCATCGTGCAAATCCCTCGCTGAAACAAGGAGAAAACACCCCAAAAACACCCCAAAAA